ATTCATATTAGAATATTGTGAGGAATCACCTCCTAAAGTTTGTCAAAGTACTTTTGAATCACCCTGTATAACCTTCCGCTTCTGGTGCAGGTGTTTTCAGTCGCAGACCCAGGATAGAGGTATCCTGCCTAGGAACCAATGCGACTGTATTTCAAGTGAAAATTTGCGCTATTGACTTGTGTGCGGAGAGATTGGATAAATCTAACCTCACTCACAAGTCAATAAAACTATTCTCGGACAGTCAAGCGGCATTGGAAGCTCTTGGCTTCTACCGAGTAACATCTAAATTGATAGCAAATTGCCAAAAACGACTCCTCTTGGTAGGAAGACTTAACAGATTGTCGCTGGTCTGAATTCCTGGCCATACTGGCCTGGAATGCAACGACGCTGCTGACTCCCTTGCAAAGGGAGTCGGATCAGAACCTGTCATTGGCATTGCCTTAGGCTTTGCCAAACAAAAATTGAACACCTGGATGGCAAGAAGATAATGGACTTTTGGCAGAATTTCCCAGGATTGGCCCACCCCAAGGCGTTTATTCACCCTTCGGAGCTTGATTCCAAACAGTTGTTGGACTACAAGTAGAGATGACCTACGATGTCTAACAGGCCTTCTTACAGGTTCGACTCGGACTGTCGAAAGACAGTGTGTCGCCTGTGTTTGGAAAATGATGGAACAGCAGAGCATATACTTTGTGTCTGCCCCGCTGGGGACGAAATCAGGTTTTTAGAGTTCAGCAGAACAGTACTTTCACCATCTACCTGAAAGACCACTCACCATACAAACTAACCGGTTTCGTTGAGAAGCTGGGTTTATTTGGTCGAGTGTGAATAGGTGTGAGTCACAATAAATCACCTCGGGTTGCGGTGGAGGGTCGAAAGGACTCAATCACTGTGGACCTTACCTAACCTAACCCAATATATACCTACTCTATTACAGTTTTTGTTCAATATACAGCATTGAAGTTTTGAGTAAATTCGTAAAGTCAAGGTATGTAGGCTTTCACAGCCGGTGTCTAACGATGTTTCCGGGTTTATTAGCCGTGATCTGCAGCTTTTGATAACTGAAGTTTTGTCTGCTACTGCGGCATACAGTATCGGTCGAAGCGATCTACCTTGATGCGAGGTGCAAACTGTTCTTGCACCTGATTGCTTCGAATCTTTCATGTCTTTGTGATGTTTAGGCTCTCTTCTTAACGATTGGAATTATTCTCATGCTGATGTTTTTCTATGGCCTCTCTTAAAAGCCTCAGATTGTACCCTCTGGTTTCATAAAGAACTTCGCTGCGTTCGAAGCCACTGTCATGGCTGCTCTACGAGATAACTTGTTCTGCAACTATCGTTCTTGTGGGCTTCAAGTTTGCGCGTCACAGCAACGTTGATCACCTCGACCGTTGCGTATCGCCTTTGATAAAGTATGCCGCAGTAGCGGACGAAACGTCAAGCATAAAAACCTGCGAACCACGGCTAACAAAGCCTGCAACACCGGACAATTCGTAGGGTAATTTCAATTCACAGTAAAGTTAACGTGGTGTGAGGGGTAAAATGAAGCAGAGGCAGTACTCAGGCTTGATAATGCCGCCAGTGATGGCGGAAGGTTGACATTTGAAGAACTCACAACGGATAATTACTCGGAAAACTCCCATATTCATCCGACCGCGAAAACCGGTATCTTCCCGCTACAATTCTCCAATGGTCATGAGATAATTCAACAATACAATTCAAAATCTGCCGTGATTCTCATATTATTCCTATCGATTATTCAGTTGGAAAGTACACATCCGTTCCAACCGGAAATTTCGCAAAAAGAAAAGAGTGGAAACCCAGACAGCTAGGAATTTATTTCACTAGAAACACAGATTTTAAATTAAAATCCCCACTGGTTGTTTATTTAAGGAATTATTCTATTCCGGGTACAAACACATTATAGAAAAAAATAACATTTCGAAAACAACCATCCACTTCAATGAGTTGGAATTTTCAACAATGAAACCGATTTGGGGTGATTTCGAAGCACAAGTAAAACAAAATTGATTAATCCATAAAATTAGTTATTATATTTGTGTATATGTGCTTTGTATATATGTATATATGCATTTGTATATATGCGTGTATGTATATATGTTATTGAATTATGAAGCACTTCTGTATCTGTATCTGTAAAGTAGGAAGGGTGAGTGTAAGTCCACAGAACTTAGGCCACATGTGACCCATTGTACATCCTCCCGAGGAGTTGTCCTCCTAGGTCATCGTACATCCTGTCCTTTCCAGGAAGGTGGACAAATCACTGGGATACCTCCTTTAAATCGGCAGGTGTAGGCCAAGACTCGCCGAACACACACTCTCTTATTGACGACAACTCCGGGCACTGGCATAGGACATGCCTGACAGTCTCATTTTCCTGTTCACACATCCTGCATGGAGGTCTAGTAGTAGGAGGTCTAGCTCAATCTTATGGAGATGTTCCTTTAACTGACAGTGGCTAGTCAGAAATCCTACTGTTAAGCCTAGATTTTTTCTTGTCATCGCCAGATATTTCTTCGGCGCCAGCTTCCTAGGGTCGCCCAGGGTGATCCTGGCAAAGTTGAATCCTTTGATTCCATCTCATCTTTTTAGGGATTGAGCATGGGTGTAACATTTGAATAGTTCAGCAATTGCCGAAGTCATCAGGCCGTGGGTGCCACTGGGCCCTAAAATTTTCAGTCCAGCCGCTTCGTTGGCTAAAGACTCGGTAATACGATTACCTTTACTTCTGTCGTGCCCTTTAATCCACCTCAGGATGATCTCATTATCCATCGAGGCTTTGGCTAAATGTTGGTGGCACTCTAGTACTAGCCCTGAGGTAATACGTTGTCTGTTCAAGGTTAATAGGGCTTGTCTGCTGTCAGTGCAGTTTGTTGTTTTTGCCAGATATTCCTTTTCTGGTTATTTCTTTTGTGGCGATTGAGATACCAGCCAGTTCTGTTTGGACCACGCTGGTATTTCTTCCCATTCCCCCCTTAATCCTTAGGCTTAGTGATCTGGAGTACATTCCACATCCTGAGCCTGAGTTGAACATGGGTTCAGTTGCATCACTGGATGCCTGCAGCAGAGGTTGTATCGTAAGCGCTTCTCACCATAGGCTCAGCCTCAATTGACTCTTTCCTACTTCTAGGTTTACACCAGCCATGCGCAATCGTAACATGGCCATTAACGCAACCTCCTTAACGTACAGGTTTAGAGGGGTCAGACCTGTAATCAATTCCACTGCCGCGGTTGTTGTTGTTCTTATGACTACTGTGATGTTTGAATAAGCCAATAGCTGTATGTGATATAATTTTTGGATGGCCATAATGGAGTACAAGTTTTTTCAAACATCCACTCAATGAGGGTATCAAATGAAAGGGTTTACTTGAAATAATGCAAAAGGAAGGCGACTCCAAAGTATATTCGTATATTATTTTTTCAATGATGTCATTAGATGAACATCTAAATGTTTTGGTAATCCCGTATCACATCGTGTCTTGCGTTCATAAGGATTGTTTTTGACTATTTTACGTACAGTACAGAAAGAAATTTCGGTCAAATCTGATGTTGCTTGTAATAGTTTGTTTCCCTCGAAACCAGACTTGAGATGTAGATTCTTATATACAATGAAACATAGTCTCTGTACTTATGGTGCACTGTTTGGAACCTTTGGTGTAGTAATGAATATTACTGGAGTTCTTTCCCAACACCAAATCGTTATTTTTAACACCTCGACACGTGTTTCGATCACCAAGTGATCATCTTCAAGAGGAAGATCAAACTGGAAACTTTCCTAAGCCAACACTATTTATGCTATACAGGTATACCATACAGGTAAACCACACAGGTATACTACCCATACAGGTATACTATCCTAAATTAGTTTTAGATTTGCCTCATCTGTTATTGTACAATATGTCCTCATGTAGTGTTTAAATGCTATAGTTATATATAAAACAATTTTCAGCTATATAGAAAATTTCGCAATATTTTTATCTGAATTTATTTTTACAATGTGTCCTTATGTAGAAATCAGTAAATCAAATAATATTATTTTAACAAGCTATAGCTTGCTGATAATTGTTTTATATATAACTATAACATTTAAACACTACTAAGGACATATTGTACAATAATAGATAAGGCAAATGTAAAATTAATTTAGAGTGGTATACCTATATGGGTGGTATACCTGTATAGTTTACCTGTATAGTATACCTGCATAGCATAAATAGCGTTAGCTTAGGAATGCTTCCAGTTCAATATTCCTCTTGAAGATGATCACTTGGTGATCGAAACACGTGTCAAGGTGTTAAAAATAATGATTCGGTGTTGGGAAAGAACTCCAGTAAAATTCATACTCTCTGTGTTTGAATATTCAAATGCATCTGAATCTCTTTCTCGCATTGTTCATCATCGCTATTGGAATTACTACACTTGAAAAAGTCTGCGTTGTTATCACACTCGTTATTACTATCAGTACTTGTCCAAGGACGCCACATTTTAAACAGATAACAAAAATTTCAAGTGATTATAACTACACTAATATTGAATTTAACCCAAAATCGCGATCAGTTCCTAAACTGAACATTGACGACACAACGGCGATACTCATCCCCACATTCTATTCGTCACCGTAACATGACTTCAAATTTAATCCTATGACTCTACAGCCAATCATAAAACTCGCCAATTTTCAGTCCATGTGGACTAGTTCGCAGCGGCATCATTTCTCTTCATTGGTTTTTTAGCCTTTGAGATGCCGATAACTTCAAGAATTCACAATAAAGGTTACTTCGTAGCCCGGGAAATTCAAACATTCACTTAATTTTTTGAACAGTTTTCGTACGTGGTTGGTGTTAACTAAAAAAATCTGAAATTAAAAACTGGAACGATAAGAAATTCAATGGCACGGCCAAAAAGTATGCATTCATCTTCGATAAATAGAGAACATGAATCAGTTTGCAAAAAAAAATTATATTTCTTGAGCAACAAACCTGTATTGGGACCTTCAAAGTCCTGATCTAGAAACTGAAATCTCCAAAAGCGCTCCAATCCACTTCGTCCATTCCTCCCACAGTATAGTCCTCAGCCGAATGACAGTAGACGGAGGAAGCAACTGGTACTATGGACGCGGATTCATGTGCGCACAGTGTCCCAACATGGGCTGCCCACGAGTTTTGGCCCCATCCCCATCCGTGACCCCAGTCGATGCAGACACCGGAGAGGACGGTGTGGTCTGCTCCATAGCTGCTGTGCTGTTTTGGGGGGGAAGTTTCTGTGGTGGTGGTGGAACTGCGTTCTTGGTGGCAGCATCCGTTTCTTACAGCCACTGCACAACCGTTGGATAATTGCTGACCTGGAAAGAAAGAGGAATCGATTGGAAAACATATTTAACTAGTCTTGCTACGGTAATATTTTGTTTAGTCAGTACTTTATCTGATCTTTTTCCAGTATATATGAGTATCTTGAAAGTGTCACTATTATATTTCATGTAAAGATATACTTGAGTCATATGGCGGGTTGCTTGTCCTTGTTCATCTTTCACTGCCTGAACCATTGTTCATGCTCTTTCTGGCGTGTGCTTTGGCTTGGGATGTGGGGGTTGAGCAAACTGGCCATCGGATGTCTTCTGCCACGTAGCCTCGCTGGATATGGGAATGACCAAATCACTTGTGGTTCTGTTATTCCCTAGCTGCATGGCTTCCCAACGATGGCTTAATCCCAAGGTGTGTGTGTGTGTGTGTGTCAGTGCCGAGATGATGAATGACACTGAGCCCATCAGCTGTCTCTACGGAACCTTCGAGATGCCGGGCGCCCTCTCGTCGTCGTAGCATCGCTCTGTCACGGTAATGCGGGGCTCTGCCCTGATTGACCTTCATTCCCTAGCTACTCGTGGGACTTTTATGGACAAAGTAAACTTAAAAAATTATTTCTGACGCTGAGTCTACAGAGGAGATGAATGTCAAGCGTACGACTCCAACTGACCTCCCTGTAAATTTAGTTCAGGAGCGATAGCTTCTCAACACCCCAAATCCTGATCTAATAACTGAACCTAAAAAAAAGTTTAGTGGTGCAGCCAGAAAACGACTGAGTCGTCTCTTCCAGAGCAGGGTACCTTATAAAACCGCTTTGTATCAAATTCTTGAACGACGTACGTAGAATATGTTTCAGGTGGAGAAACTAACCTCCCATGAGCAGGTAAGCAAACGTTTGCGCTTAAGTGAGGATTCACCAGAACCAGAGGCGAAAAAGCTCTGCAACGCTGAATCTAAGGCATCGTCAGGTATAGCTGACGCCCAAAAACCCTCATTTGGGAAGGTTGTCGCGAGAATCAAGGTGAAAATCTTACACCTTGATTATTCAACTACCTCATTAACGATGAAACTGCAGAGCATATACTTTGTGCCTGCCCCGCAGGGGACCGAGTCAGGCTTTTGAAGTTTGGCAGAGCCGTACGCTTATCATCCGACCTGAAAGACCACTCACCATACAAACTAATCGGCTTCGTTAAATAGCTTATTTTATTTGGTCGAGTGTGGATAGGTGTGGGCCACAATAAACCTTTGCGGGTGGCGGTGGATAATCGAATAGCCCCATTCACTTTGGACCTAACCTTACTTAATCTACTTGGGTAATAGCTAGCTAGTACTAAAAGTTTTTTTATCAAGAATGTGATGTTTTACATTCAACTTGAAGTTGTTATTCACTGCAATTCGTTTTATATGATTTGAATCCTCGATTTGAAATTTTCATTCTGTTGGTTTCCAACAGAGCATTTCTATGCTCTTTTACTCTTTTCGAGGAAGTGTTCACAGTTTGACCAATATACAATTGAGGAGGAGAAACATAAGTCAACTTATGCTTCTGGTCTATCCAGTACTTGAGTTTTGTCTTCTTCGAATTGTCCCGAATTTTTATTTGTTTTGTGAGCTATAGAGGTATTTCCAGAGTATCCAACCAGCAATACAGTTGATAATATCGTCTGGATCACTCAATATTCATAATATACTACTATCATTACATTTGAAGGACTCTTCAACTCTTTAAGGGTTTCGTGACATTTTATAGCTCTGAGCTCTCACTATACATATGTATATCAGCCATTGACTATTTCAATAGCCATTCAATATCATTCATGTTATGAAGACTAGTTTTTGAAAATGATAACCAGAATCCCAGCTGCCACACATTTCACTGAATAATTGGCCATATTTGCATTGAAACAATGTATAACAAATATAGCTCGAGATTCGTCCTGGAGAAGGATGCACACGTATCCCGGCATGTACTGGAACCCTGAATAAACACGGGACCGAAATACATAAATTTACATGTTTGTGGGTTGTTTTGGGTATGCAGTGCCATATTGATATACTTCGTAACTAGACCATTTTTCCATATATTTTATCTGTTGTTCTTCCTTCAGAAATGTGAGTAAGAACGGTTAAATTAAACTATATCTGAAAAGTACCGTAAATGGTCAATAAGAGGCAAGCTATAGAGTCTCTTACAACAGGAGCTTTCGAAATAACCTGATAATATAATGACAGATTCATTAAAATATGCGGAGGAATACATTTGAAAAAAGCTCAAAAATTGTTACTTCCAGAAAACAACTAATTGATAGTCCCAACCTTACTGATTAATGTTTTTTTTCGATCTTTTCTACAATGCAAACTAAAGACTCAACATTACCGTGGTTAATGTTTATATCCTGTGTCCAAATAGATTGGATGTTACGAAATTTAAAAAGTTGTTTTATTTGTTTCGTGTTATTTTTGGGATTATCATATTATTATTATTGTCATTAACAATAAAATTATCCAGAAGTTCAACTAGAATATCAGCGATGTGTATCTCTTTAGGTATAGTTCAAATAAACGATATAGTGGAATCAACCTTCCAACAACTCCTATTTGTTAATATAGTTAGGGAGCCAACTAATTTCGTTATTCAATAATCATTTCTGGTTATATAAAAATCACAATAACTATATAATATACATGCAATAAAAATATATATGATAATATACCGTGGTACACCCACTTTTTCTCTTCATTTCTCCAGCGATATTTCTGTAACTTGGAACATTGAATATGCTCACTAGACGACACTTTTTGAAATATTTGTAGAACAAATTCAACTTCCGGCTTTTCCGGAAATGACAACAACTTCTGATTTTCAAATGGAGCATCCTATATATTATCACAAGAACGGTTTCGGATGATCATGAGGAATCCAACTTCACCAGGTTTGATGGTGTTATCTACAATGACTACGGAGATATCGCCATTTATTTTATACATAAGCTCAATGAGTACGACAGAGAAACTTTTTCTAGAAGGTCAATCCAACTCTCTCTCACACTCATTGAGCTTATGGATAAAATAAATGGCGATAACTCCGTAGTCATTAGAGATAACACCATCAAACGTGGTATCGTTGGATTCCTCATGATCTTGTCCCATTTAAAAATCAAAAGTTGTCATTTCCGGAAAAGCCGGAAGTTGAATTTGCTTTACAAGTATTTTAAAAAGTGCCGTCTAGTGAGCTTATTCAATGTTCCAAGTTTCAGAAATATCGCTAGAGAAATGAAGGAGAAAAAGTGGATGTACCATAAGTCTGTGTCACACGGTATAATGAATGTTTCATTTATATAGGTGAGTGGGAAAGCAGGTATTCAAATAACATGGTGATAATTGAAAAAGCTTGTGAATACATTACTTTTTCAATCCTTTTCTGCCAGTCTTCTTTGGAATTAGATACTTCTTCTTTGATTAGCTCCATTACCTTTTTATCAAATCAAATGTAGATTCTTATGTACATTGAAACATACTCTTTGTGTTTCAATATTCAAATGCATTCAAATTTTATTCACTGGTACCTCTTTTTCGCATTGTTCACCATCGCTATTGCAATCACTACACAGGAAAAAGTCTGCGTTGTTATAACACTCGTTATTACTTTTAGCATTTGTCCAAGGACGCCACATTTTAAACAGATAATGAAAATTTCAGGAAGTACCAAACTCAACTAAAGAAACTTAGGGCACTAACACAGAAACAACAACATATCATACACAGCGAATCAGTCGAACCAGATATCCAGTTCAGCGAAAGAATCAAAGTAGAATTTAACAAAGAGGAAATTTCAAAAATGTCCAAGGGGCCGAAATATACATCAACAATAATTAATAAACAGACAGATAATAGAGATATAGGGGCATACAAGATAAAATGAAGTGATTCAGAACCATCCATTCTCTTTATCAAACAGTAGAGAAACAGGCATAATGAAAAGTATACAACAAAAACGGAGAATCACCAACAAGAACCCCTCTTACCCTAAACTATATGACCTGATAAAAACACATAAAGAGGATAAATAGTCCGGTAAGAGAACTAGGAATACGTCTTAACAAGTTGTTCAGAAATATTACCAATCTCGTCCCACCTCACAGCATTAAAAATTTACTGACTTTAGTATAAGACATAAGGAACCAAACCACGCCACATAATTCAATTTTAGTTTCATTCGATGTAAAGAGTATGTTCTCCATCATACCGTACAAGCCCCTCATTTTAGACATATTAGATCAAGTCAAAGTGGACCATATCACATCCTTTGAAGTTTTAACAGCTTTCGATGGGTGCCTAAATCAGAGCTACCTACAGTTCAACAAGAAATTTTATAAACAGGATTCAAGTTGACCAATGGGCTCACCCCTCAGTCCACTTTCAGCAGACATATTTATGAACAACTTGGAGATCACTATAGTAAACTCCGACCTGGGTAAAGAACATATTCATTTTAGGTACAGATATGTAGATGAAATTCTCGCCTGTTTCAGAGGTCTACACGACAGTTGAACCAATTTATGACATTCATGAACAATCTCAATAGCAACATTCAGTTCACACTCGAAATAGAGAAAGAGAAACAGATAAAATTCTTAGACCTGGCCATTACACACAATCAGAATGAATTCAGTGTTTTCAGAAAACCTAGCTATACAGACGTCACCATCTCAAGCGATTCTTTCCATCCAGACAGTCATTAATTAGCAGCCTACAATTCAAAGTTGCACAGAGAATTCTCACTGCCTTTGTCTGCAGACAATCTAGCTAGGGAAATTGATATAATTACCCAGATAGGTCATAATAATGGTTTCTAAAGGATGCGGAAATTCTGCACTATGCAAGGAAGGGTTGCAGTATCAGTATCCTTGGAAATTCACAAATAAAGATGGCGGGTGCAACCTGTTAAATGATCAAATCGATTTAATTTACTTCGGGTTTTTAATTGGCACATCCGCAATGTGAACTGTGAATTCAGATAATCAATCAAGTCAAGTAC